GCTGCTCAAAAGCTGACAGTAGGTGAGCAATTTCAAAATTCCTGGGATTTTGGATTCTCGGTTCCCACGTCGAGTTTTTGTCTGATCAACTTTCTGAGTGGCTCTACCCCCCCTAAATCGGCCAAGCGGAGTCGATTGCCGAGGAGAAATGGAGGCGGCGAGATCGGGAATGCGCCGAAAAAAAAAGTTCGGCATGATCCGAACTGATTTTTTTTTATTTCTCTTTTGTTTATGCGCTGAAACGTCGTTTAGACTTAGAACCAAAAGCGTTTTCTTGAAAAAAGTTTTGTTCGCCGCGGGAGAACCAATTCGTCTTTACCGCGGAACCCGCCCAGCGCTGACTGAGTAGTCTGATAGGTAAGCCTTTATCTATCACACGCCGTGGGGGTATGCCCCAGAGAGAGGAAAGGAGAGAGTCCAGAGATGGAGGGTCACACCGCTCCGGGACAAGAAGACAACTCTATGGGAAACAAGGCAAGAACCGGGGTAACTATCACGTTAACCAGACAGAGTGTTCGCAAGAAAGTAGTGAAGAAACAAAAAAAGAGGGCAAGATGGAGGAAAAAAGGAGGGGTCGGGCGGCGCGTAGGCTAGCTAAGAGAGTAGCGCGCGCCGCGCGAAAGACACAGCAGGGTCAACTTCTTAGGGTAGCAACCTGGAATGTGCGGACTTTGGCTGTAAACGGGGCCAATGGATACGGGCGGGCTTGCAGCGTTCTACACGAGGCAGCGAGACAAGACGTGTCGGTGGTTGGAATGCAGGAGGCACGAAGGGCAGGTCGAACGGACTTTGCAGCAGCGGGTTTCCGGGTGTTCTGCTGTGGCACGGAGACTGGTGGAGTCCATGGTGTGGGGATGTCACTATGCAAGACATCCACGTTCACTACGGAGTTTATCGACGAACGCCTTATGGCCATGAGGTTTCTGTTGGCAGGCCACCGTGGAGCGGTCAACTTCGTAGCCGCGTATGCTCCAACCGAACATTCAACCGCCGACAGCAAGCGCGTGTTTTGGGGAAAACTTGACAGTCTCGTGCGTAGGATCCCTTCCAAGAATATGTGTATGTCCTACTGGACGCCAACGCGCGGACGGGAGATAGGTTGGACGGAGGGGACGGAAGGGTAATAGGAATGTACGGGCGTGATGAGCTCAACGACAATGGCATGCTACTGTTGAACTTCGCAACGGAAAACAGGCTAGCTCTCACGAACACGTTCTTTGAGACACGCAAGGGCGGAATATGGCACACATACAACGGTGTGTCGGGAAACGATTGCAAGCGCCTTGACTACATCCTGACAAGGCAGGCACATCACGGCCGAGTATCTAACGTGGTCGTCATCCCCCAGCCGGTTCGCCCAGTCAAAGCAGACTCAGACCACAATATGGTAGTAGCCACCGTCAACCTCGGTGGCAGGCTTGCCCACAACCGTGCAGTCCGGACTAAATCGAAACAGAAGCAATTCAACCGTCGGGAATTGCAGTTCGAAGCAGCACGGTGTGCGGTGACTAATCGGTTCCTCCTCAACCTCGACACACGACTGGACGAGCGAACAACCACCGCCGCGGAATTTGCGACCGACTTTACCAATGCTCT